TTGAGATATGCCAACGATGGAGCTATTCCGTTCAGTTGGCCAGCAGGTGCGGGTTTCAAACGGTATGCCTGCGATCCGAGTTTTTTCAAATAACTGATTATAAGAATGCTTATTGTAGGTGAAAATTAGCTACGAGTTTTGGAGAGATTTTTTATCGAAGATGGTCGAAGCAACCTTATGAAATATGATAAAAACAATAATACTGACATCAAATCCAACAGGGAGCAGACGCTTCAACTCTGCAACACTGAAAAATTGGGGTGCATTAGCGTATCAAAAATTGTGGGGAGACATAATAAAGTAGAATTTTATATATTTCAGTCTTATCATAAGAAAATAAGAGAAGCTTAAAAGCCCAAAAGACGTTGCGCCAAGATTGTATTTGAGAAAGGTCGGCTAAGTACAGCCCGGAAACAAGTGTTAACAATAAAGATCAAATTCTAGTAATACTTGTAATACTTGTATAAGAATGCTTCATTTAGATGCTATCACCAACAATGGCCACCTATTTGTTTAACATCAATAAGGAACGCTTGAAGGGGGTTAGACGATGACCATGTCGCAGAAAACAAAGGCAAAGACTAGCAAAATGCATTTTTCAGTGAATATTATTGAGTCATCCAATTTATGTGTATTGTGAGTGTGGAAGAGTAAATTGATCCATTTGTATCTTGAGAATGGAGAGGTAACGTGGGGTCTCTAAAACTGAACAGGCATAAACTTTAGCAAACCACTGAAAAGCAACCGTTCACTACCCGAGACTAGCAAGAGCAGTGAAGTGACTATAAACAATTTTTCAAAATATAACACACCTTCATATCGATTATTATTTTAGTATTCTTATGAATGTTTTTTCAGTTAAATGAGTATAGTTTACTTTCTGTAGAGATTAGTTTTTTTCATTTCATTTTTATCCTGTTTGTCATTTCATATTTATGTTGTAATAATCTAATTATTACATCATTTAAGCTCATCTCTTGAATTTTTGACATCTCAACGTAATATACTGGTTTTTTCCTCTTTAAACCTTAATCCTTCCAAACTAGATTGACAAATTGATTTTCAGCACAACGTGCAGAAGCGTCCACTTCAGCTAGAAAAAAACGAAGAGCTCCAACTACAATAGTGAAAAATTAATCATTTAATCAATATCCGAATTGTAGTGAAATTGTACGTATTGAATTGGTGCCATTTCAATCGCTTAAAAGCCAGATTCCAATTCAGTTGAGTTCAATTTTGCGTATGACAGAACAAATGATTAGAATAACTACTAATGTTGAGTAATTGATGGCTATTAGAAAGATCAGTAGAAGTACAAACAGTACAGTATAAAGTATACCGAATGTAACGAAGATAAATAAATTTGGTTAATATAAGGCTTTTACCCCCTAATGACTTCAACCAGGTCGCGGAGAAAGCGATGTTCCGGAGAACAGAGGCTCTAAAAGTCGGTTAAGAGTAGATCACAAGAGGTAATATGTTAGTCAAATTTTCGACCACTCTATTGATGCCCACTGCTTTGTATAGAATGGGCTAACAACCATCCGAGTCATGCAAGCTTCTTGTCATGCTGGTTTTTTGTAGATTTTGGTTGAAGGGACTTTAAGTTGAAAAGCATCCGATGTTTACATGGAATTTATGTCCGTCTCTCTTCGTAAAAAAGGAACTCACAAGTTACGCTAATCAGATCAGCAAAGACTAATACAAGAAGTTGGTTATACTGTGCAAATGCGACCAGCGCTAAAATATCCACATTCATTGGTTCCCTTTTGAAGTGTTTCTTGATGTGTATGTAGCTAATAATGCACTTTCTTTGTGCAAAAATGTGAAACTTTTCAGTTATTTCAACCAAACTAAAATTCTTGTGGTAGCATTACTGAAATTCGAGTGAGAAGATCTCCAAGTTCACCTCGGGATTATGACATCTGCTGATGTCAGCTGAGCAAAGGGAAAGCGAATGAGTGCTCCTGGCTATCAGAAAGAGACGAAACTCATGGTGCAGGAAGTACATGGGTGAGAAGAGAAGCTTGGTAGTGTGCTTTTGAATAATAGAGCTGCTAGATGCTCCATCAGACCAATTCAGTATAACTGGGGTGTACAGGTTTAGGACTCGATCAGAGTTCACGAGATTTCATCTCCACGCGATTCCCTCGACAAGACAACACTTACGAGTTCATTACATGTCGATCCATTTGCAATTGAATTGTTGTGATTATTTTCCTACATGACCAATCTATATATGAAACTCAAAGTGTGTTTGTTTGTTAATAAGTATATTATAGTATATTATAGTATAAGTATATTTTTCATACGAATTTTTCAGAGTCAATTAAATAAGCTGAAACTTTGCACTTATGTTTTTGACCCCGTAGACCGTCTACGGCTACTTTTGAGTCATTCGCTGGGTTCTTCTATCGATTTAACTTATTCATGTCCCATGGAAATGGAAGCTCATCCATTTCTAACCGTGCATTTTCCCATAGTCATGTAAACGAGAGTGGTAAAGCTCATTTTAGTCTCACGATCGCGAGGATGCGGCGAAGTGAAAATGTCCCAAGGTAAGTCATCATAGCATGAAAGGGTAGGGGTCCCGCTGCAGTACTGTGCTGGGACCATGACAGCAT